GGTAGAGACCTCAAAAATACTGTTTCAAAGGTTGAAAGCATAAAATTTCTGCAGTTTGTACCCTGCAGAATGTCATTGAATAAGGCATCAAGGAAATGCAAAGATGATTTTATTGTCTTAATTTTGTGTTTTTTTTAGAGAATTTTGCACGGAAATGTTAGTGAAAAAACGAGATATACTGAAGAAATCTTTTGAAAATGATACTGCTAAAAAAGCGTCTCAAAATTTTGAAGCATTTTAGTAGCGTAAATAAGGATTTTATAAGAAGTCAAATTAAAATCTGTTAATTTTGTTGAGAATTACAAGAATTAGCAATTTTTAGCCTGATAGTTTCGAATGATTATTGCTGTTAAACATACAGCAGCTTACTCGGTCTAAAATTTTGTTGTTTTTTATGCAAAAAAATATTTTAAAATAAATATTTTTTTTAAATGCAATGTTCTTAAAAGAAAAAAAAAAAATTTTTTTTTTGAAATTACTTATTTCAGCATCAATTTGAAAGGTACAAACGTCTGAATGAAGACAAACGTGTTACAGGATGTGCGTCAGCAATGATTGCATGTGGGGATTCTGTGTTTCTTGGTAAGTTAATTTTAACTTTTAGAAATTTTCTTTTTTTTTTTAAATTATTAATTTTAGAAAAAAAACTGGAAATTGCTTCAATTTGTAAAAGTTGTCGAACAAAGGTTTATTCTTAAAAAAAAATTATAGTGCTGTTTATTTTTTTAAAGTTTATATTAGCACCAAAACGTTTTTGTTTAGTTTGTTATTTGCCAGTATCTGAGGCTTGTTGGGCACTAAGTGGAGTAAACTAATCATTCAAGTCTAAGCTTGTAGTAATTAAAATCAAAAACATAAAGGGAAAAAAAAAGAAGAGAAAGAGAAACACATTCAAAAAGCTGTGGAAAATCAACCATATTCACCAATTTTTTTTTGTTGCGCCTTGTTGACAGAGGTTACTGTTTGGATTTGCTGCTTACTTCAGGTTTGGGTCTTGGAGCTGCATCATCTGTAACCATAACAGCAACGGTGCTAACACTACAAGCCGGTGCCTTTAGCTTAGGAATTGTTGCTGTACCATTTTCCTTGACAGTATTATTTGCCATATGGACCTATGTATATGTAGAGGAAAAAATTCAGGCTTGTATCCAGAAGGAAGACACTTAAACACTTACTTTTGTTGTTCATTCATCTAATACGATTACTTCATTGATTCGAGCATATCGCTTATACCTTTTTTTTTTTTTGAACTTTTTATGTCTTTCCAGTTCTCTACAGCAGGTGTAAAGCATAACTGTAAGCTCAAAAGTATCTAGAATTTATTACAGTTTTTTGACTTTAAAAGTCTGAGAATTGTTGAACTGAGCGAACACGGTGTTATCAGTTTTTGAAACCTCTCATAGTAAACTTAAACTGGGTGTGTTACTGTTGCCAAATATGGATGATTTTCAAACAAAAAAAAAATTTTTGATCTAATATGAAAAACAAAAAGTTGATCTTTTGAGTATTATGAAAAAGAAAAAATTCCGTCTAATTGTTGATCTATTCAAAATATATGGTTGTCAACTGATTTTTCATTTTTGTTTTTGTTTTCATTTCTTTTTTTGAAGTGCTTTTGTTGAAAATATCACTTCTGCTTTTTAATAGTAATTACCTAATATGAAAATTTATTTTTGGTCAAGTTTTTTTGACATCGGCTTTTTTCTTCTGTATGTATTGGTTTTTTTTTTTTTGAAGTTAAATTAAGAAATTTTTGTGAACAATTAAGAAACGTCTTTGGATGTTAAAGCGTCGTCAACTTGTTGACGGTTTATAGCAAAATTTTTATTCTGCAAGTTTTTTTTCGCCAAAAAAATGGTACGATACTCACAAATTCAACTGGAAAAAGACAGCTGTACAAAAACTGTGCAATAATGATTTTGAAAATTGGTTTAAATACGGTTTATTTATACAACAACAAAAAAAAAAATCTAATCAAAAAGAAAAAAAAATTGGTATAAAAATGACAGACTCTTAAGCTTTGTTTTTTCGGTTTTTTTTAATTTTGATTACATTTCTCTGTAAATAAGCAAAGTTTTTTTTCAAACGTTTTGAAGCTGTTAAGATCTGTTCTGGAATTTTTATCGAACAGATGGCAGATAAAAAAAAAGCATATTGAAAAGTCTTGCAGAGATACATTTAGCAATTTAATGTTATTTAACTTTCATTTCTTTCTTTTTTTTTTTCTTATCTTTTGTTTTGTTTTGTTTTGTTAAAATATGAGGATTTTTTTTTTTTTGCACTGTGATAAATTGTATTGAACGGGTATTTCTCTTAATCAAATTATTTCTGTTTTTTGTTTATTGTTTATCCAGTAAGAGTTCTATAAATAAATTTTCAATTTCTGGCTCCAATGTTTCTTGTTTTCGCTATCAGACGTACTATTTTGGCAACAAACGACAATAATTCATTCTTGAACTTTCTTAAGTTTTACAATTTTTTGATGAACGGAAATGTTGAATTTATGCTTGGTATAGGATTGCATGTTCACTGGTTGCTTCGTCCTCATTATTTCAAATAAACAGCAGGAAATCTGATGCAGATAATTTTGATTCTGCTCCTCAATGCTGCCAAATTATTGATGTCAAAAAACATTATAAATATTTCCTTCTTCAACCATCATTTATATAGCATTTTTTTTTTCGTTATTACTGTCAAATTATTTTTCATCAAAATCCACAGTATTGGCTGAGATTAATCGTTGCTGTGTATAATGTGGGATTATCTCTTTAGTTACAAAGTTGAAAAGAAAAAAAAGTTTTTTTTTGTAATTTTTTTCTGACATTGTTTTGAGATCGGCAAAATTGAGACACATAGAATTTTGTACAGCAATTAATAACGCTGACAATGCATAAAAGTTAACAATTATTAACTGTTAAGTTTTATGCATTATCAACGTCATATCTGCCATTTATTGACAATTGGCATAGACAAAATTGAATCATGAAAACTAATGTTTGATGAAAACATATTTCACTAAAAAATCTGTTGCCAGTCACATGGTTTTTGAACCGATATTACTTTTAATTGAACACGTCTTATAGACATTAAAAACCTACAGTTATCTCATTTTTACATAGGTATTTAAGCAGTTCAAAACTGTTTTAATTTGAAGATGCTTTACAATGTCGACATTTATTTGAGCAAATTTTAGTCAGAATCTAATGTACAAAATGATGTTTACTGGCCAAATTTTCCGCAGACACTTTTTTTAAATTAAAGCATTATACGATAACAAAGTTAAGAAATAATTTCTATATAACCCCAAAAGAAAGAATTAAAAAAAAAAAAGAAATAAAATAATAATACTAAAAAATTTAATTGAAATTGATTGACCGATAAGTTCCTTGAAATTTCAAAAAGAAATCATTTTGTCAACCAAAAAAAAAA